GGCATAGAGATCTTTGGGGTCTTGATGTGCATTTCAGGCATCTTAAACCTGGGCCCTTTCACTTTTCCTTCTGGGCCTTCAATGTCCAAGCTTGGTCCTTCAAGTTCAACTTTTGGACCAGAAGCATCAAAATCACCTTTAGGGAGGCTTACATCCACATCTGGACCTTCCCCTTTGAAACCAGGCATGCCAAACTTGGGCATCTTGAACTTAGGCATTTTCAACTTTCCTTCTGGTCCATGAAGTTCAATATCAGGTGCATCAATGTCTAGTTTGGGGCCTTTGATATCCACATCTGGCCCTTTTAGGTCACTTTCCAGCTTTGGAACAGAAACATCAACATCTCCCTTCAGTTTTGGACCTCGTAGGTTTAAGTCTACATCTGGCATGGAGAACTTTGGAGCTTTGATGTGCATTTCAGGCATCTTAAATTTGGGACTTTTCCACTTTCCTTCAGGACCTTCAATTTCTACATCAGGTGCATCAATATCCAGTTTGGGACCTTTGATATCTACATCTGGGCCTTCCAGCTTTGGAACAGAAACATCAACATCTCCCTTTAGCTTTGGACCTTTGACCTCTGGCATGGAGATCTTTGGTGTCTTGATGTGCATTTCAGGCATCTTAAATTTGGGCCCTTTCACTTTTCCCTCTGGGCCTTCAATGTCCAAAGTTGGTGCTTCAAGATCAACTTTGGAAAGAGAAACATCAAGGTCTGCTTTGGGGAGACTTATATCGACATCTGGGCCTTCCCCTTTGAAGCTGGGCATGCCAAACTTCGGCATCTTGAACTTGGGCATTTTTAATTTTCCTTCCGGTCCATGTAGGTCAACATCTGGGACATCAACATCGAATTTTGGATCTTTAATATCAATCTCTGGGCCTTTCAGATCTCCTTTAGGGAGGCTTACGTCAACATCTGGACCTTCTCCTTTGAAACTGGGCATTCCAAATTTGGGGGTTTTGAATTTTGGCATCTTCAACTTTCCTTCTGGTCCATGAAGTTCAACATTAGGTGCATCAATATCCACTTTGGGACCCTTGATATCCACATCTGGCCCTTTGAGGCCACTTTCTAGCTTAGGAACAGACACATCCACATCTCCCTTCAGCTTTGGACCTTTGAGATTCAAATCAACATCTGGCATGGAAATCTTTGGAGCTTTGATGTGCATCTCAGGCATCTTAAACCTGGGCCCTTTCACTTTTCCTTCTGGGCCTTCAATGTCCAAGCTTGGTCCTTCAAGTTCAACTTTTGGACCAGAAAGATCAAGATCTCCTTTAGGGAGGCTTACATCCACACCTGGACCTTCCCCTTTGAAACCAGGCATGCCAAACTTGGGCATCTTGAACTTAGGCATTTTCAACTTTCCTTCTGGTCCATGAAGTTCAACATCAGGTGCATCAATGTCTAGTTTTGGGCCTTTGATATCCACATCTAGCCCTTTTAGGTCACCTTCCAGCTTTGGAACAGAAACATCAACATCTCCCTTCAGTTTTGGGCCTCTGAGGTTCAGATCAACATCTGGCATAGAGATTTTTGGAGTTTTGATGTGCATTTCAGGCATCTTAAATTTGGGCCCTTTTAATTTTCCTTCTGGACATTCTAAGTGAATGTCTGGTGCTTCCACATCCAGTTTTGGAGACTTTACATCAATCTGAGGTCCTTCAAGATTGCCTCCAATATTTGGTACAGTTACATCCATCTGTCCTCTGGCTCCAGGTCCTTTGATGTTCAAGTCTACATCAGGCATGGAGATCTTTGGTGCTTTGATATTTAGTTTTGGCATCTTAAATTTTGAACCTTTTAGCTTTCCTTCAGGACCTTCAATATCAAGTTCTGGAGCTTCCACATCTATCTCTGGACCTGAAATGTCAATTTCTCCTTTTGGCAAGCTTAGTTCTACATCAGGACTTTCTAGTTTTGGGCTTGAAACAGTAAAAATTGGCATCTTCAATTTTGGCATTTTTAGTTTCCCCTCATTCTGGAGATCAACGTCTGGACCACTTAGTTCTACTGTAGGCTTCTTGATATCAATGCTGGGTCCCTTGAATTCTCCTTGTAATGTTGGAATAGAAACATCCATATCACCTTTCACATTTGGACCTTTCAAACTGAAGTCTGGCATGGAGACTTTGGGTGTTTTGAAATGCATTTCAGGCATTTTAAACTTTGGACCTTTCAGTTTTCCTTCTGGGCCTTCAAGGTCCACACTTGGCATATCAAAATCTATTTTTGGCCCTGAAACATCCAAATCTCCTTTGGGAAGGCTCACATTAACATCAGGACCCTCTCCTTTCAATCCAGGTGTTCCAAATTTTGGTAGCTTCATTTTGGGCATCTTCAACTTGGCTTCTGGGCCTTCAAGTTCAACTTCTGGGAGATCTATATCCAATTTTGGTGTAGCAAGATTGGGTCCTTTCAAATCTCCTTCTAGTTTTGGAACAGTCACATCCATTTCACCCTTCATTTTGGGGACTTTGAGATCTACATCTGGCATGGAGATTTTGGGAGCTTTAATATTCAGTTTTGGCATCTTGAATTTGGATCCTTTAATTTTTCCTTCAGGCCCTTCCAGCTCTACATCAGGGACATCAACATCCAGTTTATTATCTTCAATATCAAACTGAGGACCCTTAAGTTCACCTTCTATTTTTGATCCAGAAATGTCTGCATTCCCTTTCCATTTTGGCCCTCTTAGATTCAAATCTACATCTGGCATTGATATCTTTGGTGCATGAATATTAAACTCTGGCATCTTAAATTTGGATCCTTTTAGTTTTCCTTCTGGGCTTTCAATGTCTAAACTTGGTGCTGCTACATCAACTGTTGGAACAGAAACGTCAAAATCTCCTTTAGGGAGGCTTACATCCATATCGGGACCTTCTCCTTTGAAGCTGGGTATTCCAAACTTAGGCATTTTGAATTTTGGCATCTTCAATTTCCCTTCTGGTCCATGTAGGTCAACATCTGGAACTTCAATATCTAATTTTGGACCTTTGATATCAATTTCTGGACCTTTTATGTCACTTTCTAATTTTGGAATAGAAACATCAACATCTCCTGTGAGTTTGGGCCCCTTTCGATTCAAATCTGGCATGGAGATTGTAGGACCTTTAATATGCATTTCTGGCATCTTGACTTTGGGACCTTTAATTTTGCCTTCTGGTGCTCCAAGATCCCATCCTGGGGCTGCAATATCTACTTTAGGACCTGCAAAGTCAAGGCTGCCCTGGGTAAGACTGACGTCCACATCAGGAACTTCACCTTTCAAGCTGGGCACACTAAATTTAGGCATTTTCAATTTAGGCATTTTGAGTTCAGGCCCATGAAGGTCAACATCTGGTGCTGCAATGTCTACTTTAGGAGCCTTGATGCCCACAGCTGGGCCCTTCAGTTCTCCTTCCATCCTTGGTATGGAGACACCCATGTCGCCCTTGATTTTGTGACCTTTCAAATTTAAGTCAATGTCTGGAATGGAGATTTGCGGAGTTTTGATATGAGGCCCCTTCAGTTGGCCTGAAGGAGCTTTGAGGCCAATGTCAGGAGCAACAATGTCTACTTTGGGTCCTTTAAGGTCTATCTGTGGGCCCTTCAGACCACCTTCTAGTTTGGGCACAGA